CAGTGGAGGCGCAAGCGGTCTTGCCGCTCTTGCGACCGCTGGCCTGGGTGCCCTGGGTGCAAAGAAGGTTCTTGATCGATCTCGATCGCGATCCAGGAGCCGTAGGGGACGAAGTGCCTCGTACAGTCCATCCCCAGACAGGCGCCGTCAGCGAAGCCGCAGCCGTAGTGTTGTTGACAAAGCTCGCAACGGCTTGGCCAAACTAGGCCTTGGAGCTGGTGCTGGTGCTGGCGCTGCCGCCGCTGATGACTACCACCGGCGCGACCAAGATGACTTTAGCGACCGCGGTGGCAACCGTTCCCGCCGATACTCGGACGATATGTACGATGACCGCCGATATGGCAGCAATCGAGATTATTACGATGATGATAGATCATACAAGAGTAAGCCCCGAGAGAGAAGACGAGGAGGGCGTTCCGATTATTCCTCTTCGTCATCAGACCTAGGGGATTCTGATGAGGATGAGAAGCGGGCGAAGAAAATGAGAGGTAAGCAACTTATCACCACAGGTTTAGCAGCAGTGGCCACTATACACGCAGCGCACGAGGTGTATTCTAGCATGGAAAAGAGAAACGCACGGCATAAAGCAGTCAAGGAAGGACGGTTGAGTGAGATGGAAGCCAAAAAGCTCAAGACCAAAGCAATCATGCAAGACGCCGCATCAGTCGGTATTGCTGCTATGGGCATCAAGGGAGCCATTTCCGAGATGAAGGAAGCCAAAGAATTGACACACGAGTGCAAAACTTTCCAACAAGAGAAGGCTCGCCGTCATGAGAAGCGAGTGCAAAGGCGCTTGCGACAACAGTCAATGGGTGACGGTAGAAGAAGAGCAGACAGTTGGGCTCCTTCGTCTCGACGGGATGGGTACGACTCGGATATCGAGTATGAATACTTTGACCCTCAAGACTACGGAGGCAAACCTTACAGAGGCAACACCTTCCCAGCAGAGCCGTATGGTGCAAACACTTACAGGAGGAACCCCAACGGTCTGCCATCTCCTTTCTAAGAGCCCCACGGGGTGTTGGGCGGCATCCACGCTTACTCACCTATCCCCCCAAACATCTTAAATCATGACTTATGACGAGACGACTTATTTGGCTCATGAGAAACTTGAGCCAATCAAACAGGGTTTTTCGTTTGGACACATGGCAATGAAGAACCCCAAGAAAGGAATGGAAAGACTGGAAAGAGAAGGAAACGGTGTGAATATGGCTTGTTGCGCTGCGTGGGTGTGGCTGGCGTTCGTTTTGCTGAAATTCCTCTGCATCAGATAGATGAAGCAGATTTGCTTTCTCCCCGCAACCTCTCCCCACGTTTGTTTCACATGTGTGTTGAAGACGAAGACTAACGACGATGATTAAAATAGACCATCGCCGATACTAAGCCAGTGGCCCGATCCTTGCAGGCACAGAAGCAAAAACGAAACTATATCTCGGCACAACGGCACATACGTGCATATCTGTCCAACAATGAGCTGCTCTCTTCTGTTAAAGTTGATGAATGGGGTAGGGTCTAGTAGAGGACTGAAAACGGGGAAGCAAGCGAGAGTGGCACGAGTTGACCCAACGAGATGGGAAGAGAGAGGGGCGGTAAGAAAGGATCGAGAAGCAAATGTGGTGTTAACAAATCACTACATGCACGATGATGAAGTGGTGGGAACACGGGTAGGCGGTCTCGGGAAGAACGGCTTTTTGGAAAGACGGGGGGTCTTGCAGATCAAGACTCGGCGATTGGACCAAGTGCGACAAGAAATCAGGAATGGGCTTGGGTGAAGATGGCAAGACGCCTCTAAAGTCAACGGGATATGGGCATACGAAAAGATGTATGTGGGTGGCACGATGTGCTTATTTTATTTTCTTCTCCTTTTGCCATGTTGGATATTTGGATGAATAGCTTGTTATGCTGGACAGCAGGTGAGGGAGGTTCTTGGGGGTCGATTTACCGGCCCCCAGAATACCTTGACGAATCATGACCTATAACGAACAACTCTGGCTTATAATAAAATCTGTTACGTCTTTGGTGTTGATGAAACGATGTTCGGCTGTGACTACCTAGGTGATGTGAATGACAGCGGCTTCAACAATTAGGTGTGGACAAAAGTAGAAAACGGGTTGTTCTCCCTTGATCTCACTACAGTCTTCCAAATCACTGCTCTGTACCTGTCGCTCATCGTTTGATATCCTGGGCGTACTCCAATAAACCCCACCATGCTTACAGAACACCCTGGCCGAATTATCTTAGTAGTGTGCAGATTCTATCCACGCGGATTCTTGTTTCTAACGGATCTGAGGCCCAGCTCTGTAACGTCATCAAGCCATGACGTCACTTATCAAGTGTCCACTTCACTGACAGCTCGGCCAAACAGCTGACGTCGTTTGATCACGATGTGGTTTCAAGGTATGCAGCCGAAGCCAAGTGGAAGTAGAGGAGACAAGTTAATCGCTTTTACGCAAGGACAAGAGGCTTCTGGCCCCTAACATCATGCAGTCCTTTGTTGTGTGGTGGTGCATATTCTTGCGATTGGATACAAGAACTGACGCCACAGTTGATATCGTGATAAATGCTCATTGCTCTCTATAGGACACAGCACTATAGACCAGCTTTGGTGGCCAAATGCTCATACTCAGGCTCAATCTCATGCACCAAGACCTCCACCCGCCTGTTGTTTCCAGCTCTGCGCCATGGCCAGGAGATTGGACACGTCGGCAGCCTGCTTGTCATCGGCAGGGAAGACATAGTCGATGTATTCCTCCCACGAGTCGTCGTCGAGCTTTCTTCGGCGCTTCGTCTTGCGTGGCATTTGTTTCTGCACAGCCTCCACGTCCTCCACTGAGCCGTGTGTGCGCTCGAATGATAACCAGGCGTTGAGTAGCGAAACACACTCTTCCTTGAGATCTCGGTCTCGCATACTCCTGTGTGCTCGCTTGAATACCTTGCGTGCTCGCTCCTTGGCCTCTTCGCTGACTGGCTGTTCCTCATCACCCTCCTCCTCCTCATCTTCTGGAATGTTGATCTCAAAGTGCGCGTAACTAATCCAGACCTTGACGTGGTCCGTCTTTTCAAGTAGGCGCTCGTAGAGATCTCGCGTCCGCTCGTATTCACCTTCTTCCTCCTCGAAATCGATGTACGCCTTCCATAGAAGCTCAGGCATGTCAAGCTGTTGCTGCTGGACAGCAAGCTCGAAGATGGCGCGTGTACGGTCCAGATCATCCAGACCACGCTCAAGTTCAGCAAACTTGATCCATGTCTGACAATTTGCTGGGTTATATTCGATGTGCTTCTCATACAGAGTGCGACACCGCACGAACTCGAACAGTTTGCGTTCAAGGTCAACGTAGCCGTTGAAGATCTTGTCCTTTGGGCACATGCCAATCGCACGTCCAAGAAGCTTTCGCGCTGCGGTAAGTTCACCCTGTCTGATTTCGAAATGCGCCGCCATGAGCCAGATTTTAGCAAACGTGAACCTCTTATGTGGGATCAGACCCAAGCACGTATTGTAAATCTGCCGTGTCCGTTCAACATCCTGTCCCTCCATCTCTTCCCATATAGCGTAGAAGATCCAAAGATAGATGTATCGCCTCCAGTGCCGCTTCTCCATCGTTGGTGGAACCTGAGCAACAGCTCTCTCGTATATATCTCGAATTCTGTCAGAGTCCTGTGAAGTCTCTTCGAGCTTTGCGTAGTCGAACCAGGCGTCGTAGTTCTTTGGGTTCTCTTTGATAAGCTCCTCGTAATATACTCTCCTCTTGGATAGCACAACATCTTCCACCCCGTCCTTGTCGCCAAATTGTTTCTCGAATGTTGTGTATGCCTTGTGCAAAATCATTGACCTCGATCTTGGTAGTCGGTCCAGGGCATACTTGTATATCGCACGAGCGCGCTCGTACTCTTTTAGCTTGGCTTCGAAACGAGCATAGGCGATAAACAACTTCTCATCGACAAAGTCATCTCCCAATGCCTCCACGGCCTCCCCAAAGACTTCCCGCACTTGGTCGCTAGTACCGAACTCCTCCTCAAACTTGGCCCACTTGATCCAATTCCGGGGCTCAGGGTGAATCATGGTAAAGGTCCGAAAGATTTCTCTTGCTCGCTCGAATTCGCCGTACCGCTTCTCAAGCTTTATATACGAGCTCCATGCCGCCTCATCTGGCTGCCATTGCATCCATCGATCAAACACTTGCCGCGTTCCGGGAATGTTGCCCAGCATCTCCTCCATGTAGACATATTTGTACCAGAGCTTGTCAACGCGCGGCAAGCGAGCGACGGCACGATCCAGGAGGTTTCGCGCATGGTTGATGTTCCTCGCCTTCATCTCCGACTCGATGTACCGAATCCATAGCTGAACATTGTTGGGGTGTGCGTCGAGTGCGCGCTCAAAGACGGACCGGGCGCGGGCAAATTCCTTCTGCTCCAACTCCCACTGAGCATATCGCAACCAGTTGTTGAGGTTGAGTCGATTGCGTCGCACATAGTCCTCAAACTCTTTTCTCTTCCGTCCTTGAAACTCGTGAAGCTCTTCCAAATCAGCAAATCGTTGAGTGGGGGCCTGCACTCCGACTTCTTGACGGTCAACAGCTTCTCTTAAAAGCTGTTCGGCGCTGATTTGAACAGGCGCGGCGGCCTTGTTCTTCACCCTCGGTGGCCCTCTGGACGACTCCATCGTACAATCACCAAGTTTTGAGGGCTCAAGTTGATGATGGTGATTATTTTTGCTGTGACAAGATTTAGATGAAAAGGAGATTTAAGGTGATGAAATACAGTTGAAAGTCAACAGCGACGCGACAGAGCAAGGCGCAAAAGTGTGTGGGAAGCCAGCCAATTATGATTCGATTTGATCGAGAGCCCCATTTTATTTGTGTGGCGCTCAGTAGCCTCGCAGCCTACAAGTAAAAGTATTTATACCTAGTCAAGACAAATTACCTACTCCACAACCTAACCTAAGTATTTCGCGACAATCACCTTTGCTCATTCATAGCATCCCTCCTACACACGACGCCACCATGTCGACTGTCGCAGACGATCTCCTCAACGATTTTGGGAGCTCAGGCGATGAGGCCGAAGAAGAACTCAACGATGGCCTCATCAAGGATGAAGAGGCAACCGGCAACCGTGACGCCATGCAGTTGGATGGCGACGCGGAGACGAGGTACGATGAAGATTCGGATGAGGGAATGAACGACAGAGAAGACTCCGAAGCAACAAAAGTAAAGGTCGAGAAGATGCAGCTTGGAGGAGTAAAGGATGTTAGAAGCGTTGCCAACCTCATGCAGACGCTTGAACCAGTTCTCGAGGTTAGTACTGCCCCCTTCAAACCGAGCCGCATCAACGGTCGCATCTTGATGGACGATTCGTTTACATCTGTTCTTTTGACGGATAGCCCTGACGTATTGCCTCGGACGCTACAGAGAATCGCACATTACCGATCGCAAGCCGCGACGCAGAATACCAACGTCGGAAACATCGAAGATCATCCCGAGTATCATCTTCTGACGCAGTCCAACAGCCTTTCGACCCAGATCGATGGCGAGGTTGTCCTCGTTCATAAGTTCATTCGCGACCACTACTCGACGAGGTTTCCCGAGCTCGAGCGACTTGTCACGACGCCAATCGAATATGCCAAGGTCGTTGCCATCATCGGAAATGGTCCGTTGGACTCGGAGAGTATCAAGGCCCTGCAGACTTCGACTGACAACCCGCTTGGAATAACACTCAAGTCCGTCCTTGATGGGCCGTCACTCATGATAGTGACGGTGGAGGCCACCACATCAAAGGGCCACGAGATGACACCCGAAGAGCTTGAGCGCGTTTACAAGGCATGCGATATGGTTATTGCCCTCAACAAGGCCAAGCAGACTCTCGCCGAGTACGTGCAGTCGCGCATGAACATTTTTGCGCCAAACCTGACAGCCCTCGTTGGTTCTCTTACGGCCGCCCAACTCCTCAACGCGGCAGGGGGCCTGACAGGTCTCTCCAAGACGCCTGCTTGCAACATCGCCTCTTGGGGATCCAAGAAGAAGCACTCGGGGCTTGCTACGAACATAGGTGTTCGGCAGCAGGGCTACCTTTACAACTCGGAGATGATCCGAGGCATTCCCACCGACTTGAAAAAACAAGCCTTGAGAATCGTGTCGGCCAAGCTAGTTCTGGCTGCCCGGGTTGATCGTACACACTCCAGTCCTGATGGATCCACAGGAGAGGAGCTCAAGTCAGCATGTCTTGAGCGTCTTGAGAAACTGACAGAGCCACCTCCCAACAAAGGACAGCGTGCGCTCCCTGTGCCAGACGATAAGCCATCCCGCAAGCGAGGTGGACGACGCGCTCGCAAGGCTAAGGAGGCTCTCGCTATGACTGATCTTCGCAAGCAGCAAAACCGTATGGCATTTGGCAAAGAGGAGAGGGAGGTTGGATACGGCACTGGCGAGTCAACTGTTGGTATGGGAATGATTGGTCAGTCCAACGACGGCCGCATTCGCAGTACGCAGATCGACCAGCGCACACGCGCAAAGCTCAGTGCCAAAAGCAAGGGCTGGGGCGGAAACAGCACCGTGGGTGGTGCTGCGTCGTCTATCGGTGGTTTTGGCCAAGCATCGAACATTGATCTACGAGGGCGCGGCTTACGAGCCTCGGGAGTTGGCAGCACCATCGGTTCAGCAACCGGCACAGCATCGTCTTTGTCATTCACGCCCGTCCAAGGTCTGGAGCTTGTTGACCCCAAGATGCAGGCAGAGCTCAGCAAGAAGCGCAAGGCCGAGGAGGACCGCTGGTTCAAGGGCGGCAGCTTCACACAGGTCGGAGGGTCGTCGAGTGGAAGCGTTTTCAAGGTGCCGGCGCTCCCAGCAGCCAAACGCGTCGATACAGGGTCAACCAAAACGGGTGCATCAGCATCAAAATAATTATGGCCTCAACATCATTCCTACACCACGTCAACTTGGTACTTTAGGGGTCACTGTGTGGCTGGGTTGTCATGGGAAAGTTCAGTGTTGTCATGGGAAAGCGAGCATTTGCATCATAGTGATCATCGCCGATGGTGATCATGATGATCATGTATTACAACAACTTGCGGTTCAGGGAACCGGTCCTGTAGCGACCCCGCGCGCAGAAATTGTTATGGTGCTACCAACTACGACGGTCGGCGAGGAATAAGTTGAGGAGTGTATGGTAAGAAACGGACGGGCATTTCATTCGGGTAGGTATTTGGCGAAAACGGCGTTTCAGGGAGAGGATCTGTGAATGCCATGAGCGGAGTAGCATGGGAAAATATGTAATTAGCTCTCTCTATCTCTGGTGGTATCGAATGGGTCTGACTGGTTACGACATGCTGTCCTTGATCCGGAATGTGATTAAACATGAGACCGTAATGTTGAGAAACCAGCATGGATAAAAGCTCGAAACTAAGGCAAAGTCGTTAGACTCAAGTTTGCCGTACAATACTCCCTACAGGCCAGTACTTGGTCGAGGTAGTTGACACGGGCACCAGGGTGTTTAGTCCAAAAACGGGCTGACCAAGGAAAAATATGAATCACAAATCTCGATCGATCGACAGTGATCAGCAAAGTTACCATCAACGTGACCTGTCAAACGGGAAACATGGTCGTAGCATATTGGTCCTTTCTCTGACTGAAAGGATTCCACGTCGCATCACGAGAGGCCCTTTGTGCTCTCTTCCGTAGTTACACTAGGGTCATGTTCCTAGATTCCGGGCGTACGTACGTACGTTGACATGGCGCGGCCGTTTTTCGCTGTTCAGGCTGAGGTTTAAAACAAGTTCCAGGTTGCCTACCAAGTCGCTGCCACAGCCACAGTTACAGGGTAACTGTGCAGTTTATGCGTAGTACGGAGTACTGTATCTTGGTTGTTCTTGTTTCGACAAGGATACGATACCGGCACACCGCCAGAAGCACCTGTTTCAGGATATCGAGATATGAGGAATTTGTCTCAGTGCTCTCCTTACGACCCATGGCTCCCCCAGCTGCTACAATGCCATACATTGGAACAGACGAGCAAAGTTGGCATGGCGCACCCTCAACGTCGGCTTGGTTGATCGAGTGTTCCTTTCCTTGTTTCCAAGCGACCATCGATGTGGCATGGTGACGCAAGGAAGGTTGATGTGTATATACAACAGCCTGGGCTTTATCAATATGAAAAAGGCGACGCTACCATACACATCAGGAAGAAAGGCGCGGGGGTTAAGTCAGAGTGGTAGACTACCTTGTAAAGGAGAGTAAACGCATACCATGTTGTGGGTCTACGTTAGCCGAGAAGATGCTCAACGAACAGAAACAGTTGCATTGCGCGGTTCATATTGACGTTTCGTGCGAGAAGACATTATGATTACATGCCGACATATTATCCTATCGCTTCCTGAGTATCTCATGTATCTATCTATCTGTAGACATTATGGAAAACATACATCATCATTTCACCATGTCAACATCAAAAGCAACACGGAGTGGAGAAAATACAAGGATCAGTCAGTAAACTCTACTACCTATCGTGAACGAGTTTACGGAGTACATAGGTAGCTCTAAATCCTTCGACCGACAGAGGATAAGAACCACCTGCACCACCACCGAGTTGCTAAGATAAAAAAAGATTAAAAGTTACAACATAGTAAAAGGCCCCATTAAGGAGAATGTAACATTGTGTGGATTGGCATGTAAGTGGTGGAAACATATCGAAGTTGATGCCGTACAAAAGGAAAGGCGGTGATAGCCTGGCACGCATGACATGACCCAGAGAAGATTGAAGAATAAAATGATACCCGAGAGATTTCGGCAATATCTTTGAAGGTCTTGCCTTTTTTTTTTTATACCTTACTTTACCTCATTAGCCTGCTTTAGGTTGGTAGACGACGAGGATCGCCAACGACCAAGCAAATCCCCGTCGTGGCCGGACTCGCTCCCACTGGCTGGTGAGAGTCTGGGACAGCTGCTTGGCTCCGGCTGACTGGTTTGGCGTACGGCTGGTTGCCGCTTGTGCCTGACAATCTACCCCAAAGGAACGAGGGTGTCGTCGACCTGGTTACATCATTGGTCAATGTGGTCCTAGGCGTCCCGAGCAGAAGTATCGGAATCGCATCATGGCTCAGCGGTGCGTCACAGACGAGGTCCCCTAAACCACCAGGTCATCTTAGCAACACTAACCAGGTAGACTAAGTATTGTTTGCTGATGATGCCTGCTCCGCTCGCCCATGTGTGCTTCACTCCTCACCTAGACCTCTATCTAAAGCTCGGGAGACGTGCCTTGCCCAAGGCAGGCAAGATAGACCTTGTCATTGGGCAATTCCACACATACACATATGTAGAAGATAATGGATGATCGCTGGGTTTAGATTGATCGCCCTCGTATGTACTCTACAGTACGGGCCCTCTTCTCCGGCGCCACGTCTTCACGCCCCTCCCCTCGCCTCCCTAACTCCCTGAAAACCCTTGATATTTGGTCTCAAGCCCCTCGGTCGCTGAGGCGGCGGGACCCTCGAGAGCCACGCGGACGGGACCGATGAGGCTGGCCTGCCAGGGCATCCGACCATGCACACTCCACGCAGGGCACCGCCTAAGAATTCAAAAGGGACCGATCCCCCTCCTGACTTCAGATCTCAACTGAGCATCGTTGACCCGATCCCCTTCGATGCTCGATCGCACTCAGTGGAAGCCGATGCGCCTCAATGCTGCCGCGATTCGTTTTCGCCCCGCCGATCAGATAGACAGGACCCTTGTTGCTGTTTTTATTTTATTTTTTAAATTCAGTAAACCAAGGAACTTGCCTGACACAGCCAATCCTGCGGTCATCTGCGTACTTTTTATGCCTTCCTAGTTTTTGTGATCGAGCACAGCCGGTGCATACCCATTCGAGCCAGTCTAGTCATTATTCTGGAAGCACTTCGATCTCCGACTGCTTCATTAGGCCGGCTTTGAAACTCTGTTGTGGCCTTGCAATCCGAAATCAAGATTATTCCCCGTTCGTTATGAAACGGCAATCTTGGATGCTTAACGGAGCCTGGCTTTGGCCCAGCTACCTACCTAGTATCTACTCCCCGGAGGTTTTTGATAAGTGAGTGTTCGACCCTAAAGCGAGGTCTGTCTCCATCCCATGGCCCGTTTTGGATGTTGAAGGCACTCCCGTTGCAAATGTTCCGCCAGCAGTTCATCAAGATCGTGCTCGTAGGTTGCTCAGACCAAGATCTCTCGGCCTGGTCCGATCAGTTGCGTCATTAGAATTGGAGAGAAGAAATGGCATGCACAAATGGGGCCTGTCATTTACAAGCGATAGCTCATTATCCTAGACAGATCCCTAAAAGCCCCTGTCAAGGCTTGGTGTCCATGTCATCCATCCATCCACAGCGTGAAAGATGAACGTCGCTGTAGCCAAAGGTACAATCAACCACAATATCGGATCGAATATTGTCATCATTTTCATCGACTTTGCTGAGCTCTATAAGAGTTATTTCACCTTATAGAGAGAGACCGAGAGACACTGGATTCATTTGGCCAAGGTAGCTCGGCTAGGATTTGTGACGTCAATGGGGCGCGCGATGGAAGTTATTGTCTGCTTGTAAACGCATCCGTCTGTCAACCGATGATGCTAGTGGTTGAGGGACCCTGAATGCTGGCTTCATCAGGGTTCAAGAAGCACGCCCGATGTGCGTGATTGGCATTCCGGAGCAAAACGACCGGAGGGGCAGAGATTGGTTTTGAGATCTCGAGGTTGTATGTACTGATGAAATGGAGGAATACCCTACTCGTATTGGACCACGGAACATAAAGTTCGTCGTTTGTGTCAAGACACCCTGGCAGACAGACAGCAGTACACAGCTGCAAAGTGGAAGTCAATCTGGCGATTCCAGAGAGAGGGGGTGTAAGGAGTCAGAAGCCAGGGTCAAACCAATCAGCCAGGACTGAGCCAGTCAGCTTCAACGGACCATATGGGAAACCTCCTCATTCATCAGGTTATCAGCAAGTGTCGCCGGGTGTCATTGGCTGCAATGGCTCCTCCTTCAACAAACCCCATCTTGCCGAGATGGGGAAACCACCTGAGCTGAGTGGAAGTCAAGTCTTGAGTCTTCAACAGGGTTCGTCAACCCCATTGCGACACCCTTCGGCGCCCGGGGTTGGGTCCGCGCCCAAACAAACGAAATCGCAGGCACTCACTCTGGCACTGTTGTGGAAGGGAAACGACAAGATAAAGTTCCTACGGTGACTACCGGAGGGCATCCGCACAAGGTTGATTGGCCAAGAAACAACAAGACGAGGTGAGGTTCGACGAGAGAATTCGCTCCTCGGCACGCCATCCTGATGGCCAAGTTACAGAACACAGCATCTTAAATGATGCTGTTGTTTGCCATGTGGCTTCTAAGACCAAAGCTACATGCTTGGTTCAATCACCTATAAACCTGCAAAACCTTGGCAACGAAGAACGGGTTCAGTTCGCTTCCATTGCTGTCGGTAAGTTTTCGTTCCCTCTGGTACTTGTCATGGGTTAATTGGCCGAACCTGTCCAGAAGTTGCTGCTCTGCGTAGGTAAACAGTGAACATGTTAGCATTGGGTCGGTCCCCACCCTAGAGCCACAGTAAAAACTCCCTTGATCGCCATTTTCTCGATCTTTTCCGATTATTGGTCGATGGAGTTTCTATCCCCAGTCCTGATGGGGGACCCTTGGGGACGACCCTTGAGGCGTTAGCGTCAAGGGGATTGTCGTCCGCCCCCCGCCGCCTCCACTTTCTACCTGCTTGCGAAGCTGACCACAGCCAGACACGCTGAGGTGCTGAAAGCAACTCAGGCAGCGCAGCGTAGCGTAGCATCTAGGGGTGTTTGTGCCTTACTAGCCCTCCATTGCTAGCCACTCTAGCTCTGGGGAACGTGCCCCGGCATGATCCACTCTGGCCCGCCCTCGTCT